CCCCCCGTTGTTTGCTGAAACGGCGCGCTGCTTCGGTGCACGTGTCTGTTTGCTTACCGATCGAATTTCGTTTTACCGCAGGTGGACCAGATCATCATGTCGAAGCAAGCAGGCGGGCCTAAGCCAAGAGCGCCGAAGGGAGACGACGAGTAGATATGAATGCTTATTTTCGTGAAGTGAATGGTTGTTAACTTGCTCTTGACCCACACCAGACGCAGCAGTACCAGTGGTGTCGCAGCTTGGGTGGTAGGAGATGGTGGGGGGTGGCACCGCTTGCCGGAGGCCCCGTGTGGCGGCGAAATTGTTCGGGTGTAGCGGGTAGGTCGGAGCAAGCAATGGTAGCGGCACGCCCTACGGGAATCGGCGAGGGAGGGTGTTGGTGGTAAGCGAGGGACGATCTGTGTACGTAGTAAGGAAGCGAAGCGCAGGACGACTAGCAAGGGAAATGGATGCACAGGAGTATCACGATATGCTGCCTAGAATGTCAGCCGAGGCGAGCGTAGTTCAAAGCAACACCCCGCGACTGCTCAATCTTTCCAGCCCGCGATACGTCTTGTTGCTTGGTGGCACCTATAGGTCGGTTCGGTCACCTTTGGTAGCTAATCTAGCAGCCCACAGAGTACAGAACCGCCACCCGCATCTACATCGGGTTCGAAGGAGTTGCCTCGAGGCGGGACTTGACCAGTCAGAACAACAGGCAACGACGATTGATGTATGGGACATGAACGCCTCTCTGTGTTTTCGGTCGGCCACCAAACAAGAATCACCCCTCTTCCATCCCCACCCTCCCTACGATACGTACAATACCTAACCGCTGTCCGCACAACAAGAGTCACAGCAAAGGTCAGCAATACAAAAAGAAATTATTCCGCAAAATCCACAGATAATTCGACAAAAAGGGACTACACTGGTGATTCCTGCAACAACAGGGTTCAGGAGAGGCTGCCTACCTCCCCGAGCGTTTCCCCATAGTACCGAAGTATAGTTGGCGCATCGGTCGGCTGTCAGCCGTTCGTGCATGTGTAAAGCATGAATCAGGAACGAAAACGTCTGACCTGATCTATACTTCCGTTGAAACGAACACGCAACCTTTCGCTAGTCGATTGCATCGATCGGTCCAATCTCAAGCTGATATACACGCAACGGACTTGACGCTTCCCAGGCG